TCTTCCCACTTTGGGGAAACCAGACAGCCCCTACATAGTGGCTGGGCACTGTCTGCACTGCTGACGACACCCAGGGTGCCTAGGACAGCCCACCACCCTGCAGATGTGTTCGGGAATGAGGGAAGGCCTCCTTGAAGTTCCTATCCCTGCCAGGGGATCCACCTGTTCCTTTCCTAACCCTGGTCTCTTCCCCAACACCATTTGGAGCACTCAGGCCAGGAGGCTGAATTAGGAAGGTGAGCACAAGGACCCGCCCGAGGTTGAGTCCCCTTGGTGCCCTCTTGCCCTCTTGTATCTGAATCACGTACCAGGAAATTACTGAATGGACCACTGTATGAGAACAGAAAGGACGAAGGGTCTCAGTGCCCTGAGCCTGCCCCTGGCTTCTACACATGGCCCAACTCCCCCATCCGCCCATCCCCACACCCGTGCCTTGGCCCCAACTTCGCCAGAGCCTCTTACTCCACCAAGACTAACCATGCCTCTTCCAGAACACAAATTTATTTGGCATTTGGAGGAAATGGTTCTCACAGCATCTTAAGGATTAGTGTCAACCCAACCAAAAATAAACCCAAACTAAAAACCCTTAGTGAAAGGAAAACATAAAAAACAGGCATTGAGACAACGTACAGATTCAACATCCACCTCCATCAGGCAGGTCAGGTCTTGGGGGAGGAGGCCCTGCCCAAGAGCCTGGACTGTCCCTCGAGGGGCCCAGTGTATGTGGAGCAGGGGCCCTGTCTCTCACAGGAGTATGAGAGTTTTAACCAGGGTTGGACCATGGAGCACAAACAGATTTTACAAAAGGTGGTGACCGAGCGGGAGGCCGGGAAGGACTGGGTAGACCCCAGCTTTCCCCTTACAACCTTAATCCAGCAGAGCTTGGCTACTGGGGCACCAACTCCTGGAGACACGCTCTTAGACAGAACCTTGGCCAGTCCAGAAGCAGGCCTACTCTCTGGAGCCCCCATGGTCTGTTTGCTTTAGGCCGCCCTCCTCTCAGGGACTCCTACATGCCTATTCCCAGTAGTCCCTCAGTCCCACACATTTCGTCCAGCCACCCTGCCCTGTACACATGGTTCTAAGGCCTGGGCCAGAGACACAGGCTGGGAGGGACCCTGGGCTGTGGGGTCTCAGCCCTGTAGGGCTCTGTTGGGGTGGTCACCCCAAAGCAGGCCCACTCAGGACCCTCACCTGGTACCAATAAGACTTGTGATTGCTGCTCTGGAATTCAGCTGTCCTGTGCCTAAATATGTTGGAGGCATGACATGCTTCCTGCTTTGTCTTAAGCAGCCAGCGGGGTACATGTGCCCAGATGCCACTCACAGAGTATCAGTCCTTTGGCAAAGGGGGCCTCCTGTAGGCTGAGCCCCAAAATGAGCAGTTCAGTGACAAAATACCTACCTCTGGCCAGCTCTGTGGAGCAACTCAAGAATCTCATTCCATACTGGGAGAACGAAATCTATTTCCAATTAGAACATGAGAACGCACCTAGAACTAGACTGTGCCACTGAGGTCTGTCAGCACAAAGCACCACAGAAGGACCCACTTCAAGTCAGCCCTCCCCTTGCTGCATGCCAGTCTGGAAAGGCTGCAAGGGGGACCAGGAGCAGGACTCTGCACTCTGACGAGGGGGAGAGGCACAGACCTGGCCCAGGAAAGCAAGGCCCAAGTTCCTGTGTTACTGCCACCATCTGCAAACACTTGGACACATACACACACACACACGGACACACGCACACACAAAAAAAGATCCAGACAGTCAACGTAGAAAAGATATGGATGTGCTGAAAATCGCACAGAACCCGCTTAATCTCCAAACCTCAGAAATGGTAAAAGTCCCATGTCAGGAGACAAGACCACTGCCCAGGAACAGGCAACAGGGTCCCTCGGTCAAATGGCCCCTGGGCAGGGCACCCAGCACTGTGCTGCTGAGGACAGGAAGGTGGCATGCAGTCACTGGGCACTCTGCTCTAGCGGTGGCGTGCAAGAAGTGGACTTTCAGGAGATGGACAGAGCCCAGAATGTTAATTACAGCCACCCCTCCCCACAAAGAAACTACCCTTTATGGCACAAAAAAGGTGGGGGCGGGTGCAGGCCAGGCCCAAGGGCAAATTCAACAGGAAGGGGGCTCCAGAGGGTAACAGGCAAAAGCCAGCTAGCACCCAAGCCCCAGCAGAGGGTCCAGGGCCAGGACACTCATGCATAGCTAAGAGCTTCTGCCCAACTCCAGAGCTGCCTTCTGGGGGAGCCATGCACAGCAATGCTGGGGAGAAATCTGATAGGGTGAGGCCAGAGCCTCCTGGCACAGGACTGGGCTTCGCAGAGCCCAGCTAGAAAGACAGAGTGGAGAGTTCGACCTCCTTCCAAGCTCCCCTTCTAAGGGCTTTGGGCACAAGAGCCCAAGGCCAGCCCCCAGCCTGGGGCAGGGTCACCTGCCATGTTCACAGCTGGACCTGTGGGGGCCATCCCCAGAGAAACTATTGTAGCAACCTCCAGACCCACCGCCAAGACAATCCTGACAGTCCACAAACACCCCGGAGGCAGGAAGTGCCCTCCTGGACAGCGGCCAGCGGGGCACACCATGGCAGCCCTGGGGCTCGGTGGCTGGGCTGCAGACTCCTCTGGATGGCATGCTGCAGTGAGCAAGCCCACTAAAGCCAGGTGTGATCTGGCCCCTGCCCAGGACCACAGTGACTTCTTTGTTCCCTACTTCTGAAACGTGTGGTCTAAATAAACTTTGTCATTCTTCTGCCATTTAAAAAGAAAAAAAACAGTGACCCAAAGCTATGCATGTTTTTGAAGCCCTCAAGGAGACTGGGTGCAGGTGCTTGCTCCCTTGGAAGGCTGGCACAGTCTCTGCACTCACACACACGCCTTCGTGGGGTGTACGGCAGTGCAGCTGGGTCCAAGCTCATGCAGGGGCCCCTCAAGTCTCTACAAGGATCAGTTTTCTTGATGACAAAAAGGTGCTCCCTGCGCCTCAGGGCCACAGGCCGGGCATCCTCTACACCACGGTATTGAGGGAGCTACGGCTGTGGTGACCACCCCCTGACAGTGCCTCTGTGGCTGGGGCACTCCCCCTCTGGGCGGGGTCAGGGGGCTCGAGCAGGGCGCTGCTGCTGTCGGCGGAGTCGTTCAGGTCTGCCAGGGAGGCCCCTGCAGGGGGCAGAGGCTGCTCCAGGTGGCGGGGCGACACACCTTCACTGTCGCCATCCCCTGGTGTCGGTGGCCCAGCTTCTGCTGGCTCAAAGGCATCGTCGTCTGCAGAAGGAGAGAGGGCTGTCAGCAGGGCAGTGGATGTGGCATGGGAAAGAGGGTACAAGGAGAGAACCAGGAGACACTCCCCCTGCCTGAATGCTGCCACCACTGCTGGGGGTCTGCCATGCTCACCCCTCACCCTCCCAACAGTGGCGGGCTGTGGTGCAAGGTGCAGAGTGACAGCCATGAGCAAGCCCTGGTATGTAGGAGGGGAGACAGAAACCCTCTCACACTCAGTGGGGGTCAAAGCAGGGGTCACCGGGCTGCAGGTGGGCAGATGGAAGTGTTCACAGCCCCCAGCCGAGGAGCTATGGCTGGAACACGGGGATGAGCATGAGCACGGGAGATGGGGCCAGAGCAGCCGGCCCTGCAAACTGCGCGGGGTCTGCAGAAAGCTCAGGTCTGACGGAGGCTCTGTGGCAGCCCAATCACTTCGTTGTACCACTCCATATCACCACAGGCTCCATCTCTCCTTCAGCTCAGGGCTTGGGTCCCAATATGTGCCCCCCCTGGCCAAATGCCCACAGCCCGAGCAATCCTATTGCCCTGCCCTGGGATCACTTGCTCTGCTGCAGCTCGGTTCGTGGAGGCTCTGAGCCCCATAGCTCCCCAGTAGTATCCCTGGCAGGAAGCTCATTCTACCCCGGTCCCCATGACAGCAAATGTTGACAATCTGTCTCGAGGGCCAGGGTCAAATCCGGATCTCTCCTATGCAGGCGGACCACACAGGAGCGGTACCAGCTAACCAAATGAATAAACAGGACCAAGAACACAGCAGTGCTGGCCTCGCATCGCCACCCTGCTGTGCTGTGTGGGCATGCAAGGAGCCGGCCACCTCGAGGTGGGGCACTGACTACGATGCATGGCAGGGGTGCGTGTGTGTTTCAGAGTGTAATAGGGAAAAGAGACAGGGCACCTGCACCATACACAAAGGGTTGGGACAGGCCAGGCAATGGGTAAGGCTCCTGCATTTCCTTCCTTGCTGCACAGCCTTGAGGAACAAACTCAAGTAATCAGCCCAACATCACAGAAACAATGCCTCTTTCCCCATCACAAAACTGCCTCAGGATACGAGGGGGTCATCGTGGTGGTACCTCTTCAGTTTACCACACAGGCACATGCATCTTTACAGCCCAGAAATCACCCACACGTGCAACCCTGTGAAGAGCTGCCCACTGATAGGTGGCAGCTGCACCTTAAAGGGAAAGCCAGAGAGCAGGAGAAGGCTGGGGAGAAGTGGGGTTCACAGCCCTGTGCACTGGGGAGGCCCCCTGGGTCTCCAGCCTCACAGGCCGGGTAACTGGTGACAGGCTGTTCCTTTTCCCCGTGGGGGAAGCACCTGTGGGGTCATAGAACACGCTGTCAGGGTTGATGGAGGCCTCGTAGGGTGGCGGCGGGTCATCAGGCTGGTCGATGTCTGGGTACTTGAATGCGGTGTACGGGGGTGGAGGGTCATGGAAGTGGAAAGTCCCGCCTTCTCCGTCGTCAGAAAGGTGTAGCGGCGTGAGGCCTGTGCCAAACCCGTCCGGGCCATAATCAAAGCCAGGGATCCTGCGGCCGAGGTTGAAGTGGTGCACTGCACAAAGCATGAAACAAGCACAGGACCACGTCACTGGGAGACATGCTGCTCGGCTCCTGAGCCTGTCCCCGCGCCTCCAGGCCCAGAGCGCCAGGCATTCTGCTCCAGCCCTGTGCCCAGCTGCTCACCTGTCAGCCGTATTAGGGGCCCACATAAAAGCCCTGAAACTCGCTCAGGTCCACTCCATTAGTAGTACATCCTTGCCCCTCACCCACATATAACCATCACTGCAGCCTGCTGCTTCTGCTGCCAGCCTGGCCTCAGGTCTGTCTGCTACGCTTTAGCCATTGCCACGTCCCTCTAGTTCTAACATGTTTCTGGGTGTCTGATGACTGCCTTGGAGTTCTGCCCACCCTGCAGCTCTGTGAGAACTGAGGAGGGTCTTGGGAAGAACTGTGTCGGCTCATACTGATGTGGGGACTTCAGAACTGACCTGGACTCCCTGGGAGGTGCCAAGGTCCCTAACAGAGTTCTGCATGGTTCCTCAGCATCCTGCCATCTTGATTCTGAACCCTCTCTCACCTGCCAGCACCTGTCCCGCTCCGCCCAACATGGGACTGGGAAGGCCTAGCTTGTTCACTGAGACAAGGGGTGACTTCAGAAGCTCTACTGGGGGCTTGGGCTGCTGCAGGCAAATCGGGCCAAGGAGGGTGAGCCATACTCTATAAGCTGTCTAATGGCCACGGTTATCTGCTGATCCTTCACCTGGCAGGAGGCCCACACTCATGGCTGTCCTGTTTCAGAAGGCCAGGGCAAGGGCGGGGAAGCCCAGGGTGAGCTGGCACTGCAGGTGCGTCCTGCCTCCATGTGCCCGTGTCTCTGATTTTAGGTCCCTTGGACAGCTCCTCTAGTACCTCAGGTGTGTGCTCAGCCCAGGAACAGGTGGCTAGGTGGGGTAGGAACACCCTGGGAGCACACTCAGGGGCCAGCCTGCACAGTGACCATCATAGGCAGGGGCTGGGACACTCACGGTTTGCTCCAATCAGGGACTCGATGCGCTCCCGGCGTCTCTGGCGCAGCCGGTGAACCATGAAGAGCAGCAGGGACAGGATGAGGAAGGAGGAGATGCAGCTAACGATCAGACGCATCCCACTGGCCATGGAGTCAAACAGGCTGTTCCCATCTGTCAGACAAGGAAGGGAACCGGCCACGCTCAGAAAAAGAGGTCCTGACTCAGGGTGCTTAGTGCTATGAGAAGGCCATGGCCCTCCTCCATTAAGCAACTGCGTGGAGAAGGCAACTTGCTTCACGATTCAATCTTAGGATAGATGGCAGAAACGAAACAGCTCAAGATCAAGAATAGTGATAACTCTACAGGACAGCAGCAGGTCATGGGCCAGGGAAAAACTTTTTTTCAATTATAGTTAACATTCGACACTATTTTATATTAGTTTCAGGTGTACAGCAGTGGCTGTACACTGACACGATCCACAAAGTGATCCCCCTCGACCAGTCCAGTACCCGCCCAGCACCAGGCACCGCAACGCCGCTAACCGCATTCCCCACGCCGCACTCTACATCCCCGTGACTATTTTCTAACTATCACTTTGTACTTAATCCTTTCACCCTTTTCACACAGCCTCCAAACCCCGCTCCCATATAGCAACCATCGATTTCTCTGTATCTATAAGTCCGTTTCTGTTTTGTTTGTTCATTAATTTTGTTCCTTAGATTCCACATTAGTGAGATCATAGGAAAAAATCTTTTAATATGACACAGGCAATGAACCCCTCCACCTGCTTCAGGTGTCATGGGGGACCCATCTCCCTGGTCAGAGAGGTTGCCTGGCCTCTCCCGGCTCATCTGTTTTGGGTGACTGGGCATCTTTCCTCAAGTGCTGTAGGCCTCGGACACCTGCTGTGTGCAAATGCCCAGGACAGCCAGTGAGCAAGGAAGCCTTCTTCTTCCAGGATCAGCATTCCTAAGAGACCAAGAGAGAGCCGTGCTCTACACACCCAGGGAGGAGAAGTGACCCCTGCAGAAACCATTTGCTTCTCTCCAGGTATTGAATATGAGCCCTACTGCTCAAAAGGTGGTTCTGAGCACCCAGGAGACAAACAGGACCTTTCGACGTCCCTGTCCTCACTGAGCTTCCATGCACATGAGACAGACAATAACGCTGTACATGAATCTAAATTATGTGAAGTACCCAACACAATGGAGCAGGGTAAAGGGATCAGAAGTGAAGGGGACATGTGTTCTGTGATGTGGGGGCAGGGAAGGCCTTCCCAAGGACACGGGGAAGGACTGAGGGCAGGGGACCAGTGAACAGTTTAGCTGGGGCTGGGTCTCTGAGTTTTATTCTTATGTGGCAGGAAGCCACTGGGGGGGTTGGAGTGGGGAATGACACTTCCTGAGGGGTCCGGCTCAAGCAACGCTGCTCGGAGGATGGGCTGCAAGAGGAGTGTGGGAGTGCTGGAGAAGCCAGTGAGGATGCACCTGCGGCTCCTGGGGGAAGAAATGACAGTGGCCTGGACTGGGGGTGCTGACAAAGGGAGAAATGACAGCAGAGTCCATTCTGGACTCGGATTTACATGCCTCACTGATGGGCCGAGAGTGGCTCCAGTCTGCAGCAACCGCTGGGGAAAGATGCTCGGCCCAGGCCTCGTGTTACAAATGAGACTCCACTGAAGTTGTCAACGAGCCCATCACCGCAATCCTTAAACCACGGCAGAGGAACACCCCTCCCATCTGACACTAGCTCTGGGCACACATGAGAAAATGAGCACTCATAAACACACATGCTGACCCTTCACCACACAGCATGTAGCACCAGGCCCCAGAGGCACCCCACCAATACTACAGCCTGGCTACGCCTCTGCTGCTGAGTGTGGGGGGGAAGGGGCCATGGAGCTGTCCACTCAGTGAACCCAGGAGCTGTGTCTCCCTCAGTCTTTCCTGGAGGCCACCATGCCTGACCTCCCACCTATCCTTGGGTGTGAGCCCCCAGAAACCACAACAGGGGCTTGACAAGGGGTGGTGAACAGGACTGTATTTTTGGCTGCAGCATCTAGCACCTCCCTGATTTCTTACCACAACCCTACAAAGGAGAAGAAATGTCCCTCTACAGAGAGAATCAAGGCTCAGCAGGGTCATGTGATTGGCCACAGTTCAGACCTGGGCTCTGGTCCCATCAAGGTACTCCCTGAACTCTGCTCCTCTCTAGCACCCAGCAGTGCTCATATGTGGAGGCCAGGGTTACTTGGAGCCCCACAGAGGATCAGGGGAGAGGGGTGAGGATGTGGCCTCTGCTGGACCGCCAGAGTTCTTGCTTATAGCCCCCATCCTCCCCTGCCATTCAGTGGCTGTTCTAATTCTCGACCTTTCCACACCCCACGTCTACCAACCCACTCTGTTGGTGGGGAGCCCAGGGTATCAGAGCATATACCCAACACTACCAAGGGCTTGACTTTGGCATTCATAATCTTGGACAAAGAAGGGACACATGGAGAGCAAGTCTTCACACAAGATGACACTGAGACGCCTCTATCCTACTCGACCCCACTCATCTCTACCCTGGGCCACAGTCCCCACCCAAGCGAGGCAGGGCAGGCTGAAGCTGTGTCCCTATAGTCAGCCAGCTCCATGGTGGAGGCTGTTCCACAGCAGCGTCAGCAGAAGGCTGGAGTCTGGTCTGCACTTGACATCTTGGGGCACAGACCGTGGGGTTCCACAGCCCAGGTACCAGCTCTGTGAGTGGCACTGGCCTCACCTTCTAGCCTAGCATTTTTAAGTCCTCACTGATGGGCTCCTTCTGCCTAAGCTCACTGGGGCCACAGCTAGAGGGTGCTGTCATAGGACCTGCACCCCCTCAACCATACAGAACAGAATCAGGCACTGTGATCAAGCCCCTGGACCCTAGACCAAGGGTTCCAGGGGTAACTCTGTACCCTACAGGGGATAGCCGGCAATGTCTGGAGGCACTTTTGGTGGTCACCAACCACTGGGGGTGATAATGTAGAGATGCTACTGGCACCTGGTGGGTAGAGACCAGGGACAATGCTCAACATCCTGTTGTGCACAAGACAGACCCACAACACAGCGTCTGGTGAGGTGGAGACACTCTGCTCTGCTCTGCCCTGGCACACACTGGGGCGTCTCAGGTGCTCACTACGGAGCTGCTAAAAAGATGCTTGTGGGACAAGTGTGAAGGAAGAAAACTTGCATTTGGCTGAGTGCCTATGATGCGATGGTCATTTCCTGATGCTCTCACTGAGATGTAGTCCTTGGAAGCAAGGTGACTCTGCATGGGTGGAAAGGCTGAGGACTGTCGACTCCCACCTCTGTGACAGCCACATGGCAGGTCCTCAACTACCAGTCCTGGAGACACTTTACAGCCAACATGGCTTCCATGTGTGAGAGGCCAGGCTCCTAGGACCCTCCTGCCACTCCTGCTGGCCCAGCCTGCTCTGCAGGAACGCAGAGGGCCAGAACTCACTCTTGCCCTGCGCCCATGGAGCTGCATTTACTGCTGACAACACCTGTGGAAAGGATACGCCCTCTCACCAATTAGCTTTCTGTGATGCCTCTGCTCCTCTTCCAATTTCAAGGGAACATTTCATCCTTATCCATGGCAGGAGGTCTACCAGCCTGGGAACCTACTGACATGTCTGTTAATGGGTGGCCAGCTCAGAGATCCCAGGGAGGTATTTAAAGTAGCAGCACCCCCTGCAATAACTAACTTTTAATTAGTTCTAAAATAGCCTATGGCCATGCCACCCTGAACAAGCCTGATCCTGTCTGATCTCGGAAGCTAAGCAGGGTCGGGCCTGGTTAGAACTTGGATGAGAGACCATCTAGCAAGACCAGGTGCTACAGGAATAAAAAATAAAAAATAAGGGATTGTAAGCTGACAAGGTCCTTGCAATCTGTGAGGTCAACCAAGGGTTGCCTCATAAAAAAATAATAAAATAAAATAAACCCAAGGACATGATCAAGGTCCCTAACCATCCCTCCATGGTGGCTACCAGAAGGAAACATGTCCTAGAACCAAGCCACCTGCAGTCAGGCACAAGGAAGAGAGAGAAGCCAGAGGCTAGCTCAGTAGTTCCTTGGGACCTCTGACATGGCTGTTCCTTCCATGGAACAATGAACTGTACAAGACAAGGCTGTCTTCTGTCTTCTAGGATGCTTGTCCCTAGATAGCCCTGGGCCCCAGAAGACATGTCCTGTTGGGGTACATGCTGTTAGATTCAGGCACCCTGAAGTCTACCTGGCCTGACCCTTGGTCTGATGCCTGAGTCACCCCTGGTCCTTCCCAGCCTGGGTGTGAAGAGCTCTACTATATCGCTGAACCTGGTTACATGGAAATGGCTCCAAATCTCCATTGAAGACAGCAGGTGGAATAGAAGCTTGGCAGAACTGGAAGCCAGTGTCCTGGACCCCAATGTGTGCTCTGCTACTTGCTGTTGCACGACCAGGCACCTCATCTCACCTCTTTGAGACTTGTGGCCTCAGACTGCCCCAGGGCACCCATGGGACAGGAGGGAAGAGCACTAGGAGAGATGCAGTCACCTGTGCCTTTACCAGCACATGGAGTTGTCAGCTATGTTATTTTAGCCTTTCCATTACATGTGGTACCCCATATGGATTCAATTTGTTTCCTTATGACCACTGTTGAACATCCTTTCAGGTGCTTGGCTGTCAACCTGTATTTTCTTTGGTGAGGTATCATTTTAAATCTTTTTGCCTATTTTTAAACAGGATGGTTTGTTTACTTATTATTGTGTTTTCAGAGTTCTTTATATACTCTGAACACAAAACCTTTGTCTCATTTGTGTTTTGCAAATATTTTTTCTTAGTGGCTTATCTTTTCATTTTCTTAATTATCTTTCAAAAAATGGACATTTTCAATATTCATAAAGTCTATTAATTTTTCTTTTGTGGGTCCTGCTTTTGATGTCATCTAAAAATGCTGCCTATCCCTTGTCAATGTCTATGAAAATGTATGCTAAAATTCTGATTAGGACTACAAAGAATCTACAGATAACTTGGAAAGAATTCCCCTCCCAATGATACTGAGTCTTCTGATTCACGAACATGGTATAACTGTCCTTTCATTTACACCTATGAGTTTGTGCATAAGTGTTTCATCATTTGTAGCATATAGATAGTGCACACATTTTCTAAGATTTATACCTAAGTATTTCATGCTCCTTAGTGCTACTGTAAATGGTATTCTTAAAAATTCAATTTCCAGCTGTTCACAGGCAGCATATATAAACATGATGGATTTCTGTATATTGACCCTGTATCTGGAGACATTGCTTTTTAGTTTCTTGCAGATTCTCTAGGATTTTCTATGCAATCATGCCGTCTGCAAAGAGAGATGGTTTCATTTCCTCCCTTCTGGTCTGGATGCCTTTTCATTTTCTGGCACTCCCCTTGACATCCTGTACAACCCTAAACAGTCTGGTGAGAACAAACACCTTTGCCTTGTTAGAAGAAACACTTTTCCAGTGTCTCCAGTTTTGGTGGCAGCATCTCCATCCCTTGGGCCGTGTGGGTACTTCCCAAGAGAAGGCACTTGGCCTGGGAGGTTGTAAGAAACCTGCAGAAGCAAGGCTGGTGCAAGCAGCAGGGCAAGATTCTAGCTAAGCTGCTCTGGCCATACAGAAGATGCTTGGGGGCCCTGCTCTGCTGAGAAGTCCTCATGGCTACATGGGCTCCCCAGGATACACATGTCCACAGACTGGTCATCCTTGTATGTGTCTGGTCATATATGGGCTCCTCACTCTCTGCAGCTGACTGTGCACCTTTGATGAGACATGTCTCAGAGCACCTGCTTCTGCTGAGCCCTGGGCAGCCTTTGACTCTACTCTGCCCTCTTGCCAGCAGCCTTCTTGGTATACAGGGACACTGACACTCAGGGATAGCTCTCACTGTTGTGGCCCTCACATGCCAGCTCTAGCTCCCTTTGCACTAGCACTAGGCAACCCAGCCCCATGGCTACCATGCCCCATCCAAGCTGCTTTTCTGCAGGGTTCATGAGCCCGGGGGCTTCCCCAAGTCCCTATTGCACATCACTCTCATACTGTGGCAGCCAAGAAAGAAACAAATTCATGCTTCTGATTTACATTTCTCCTGAGATCATGAATTCATACAGAGATGCCAACTGCACTGGTGTGGAGAACGAGCCAGCATGCTACATGGAGTCCGATGCACGCTAATGGTCCTACAGAGCAGAAGCCCACCTGCTGCTCTTTTTCTGGAAGTAGAAGGAAGGTCACCTAGAGACCACATGTCTGCATAGTGTCCACCTGCAAAGCACCACCTTTGGGAGTTTTACCTTGAAACTGAGGGTAATATTTTATCTTTTTCTTTAAGATTCCAACAGTGAAAAGTGATGACTATAAACACTGAAAACCGTCATTACCCACCATTTTGACATATTCAGAAAACATGAAGAGCTCACACGGGGGTCAGGGTAAGCTGGAAGTCTTGCTCTGAGTTTTAAAAGGAAAGAAAGACAGGTCTAAAGCCATCAATTATAGCCGATTTGTGACCATACAGCCATACTCAAGTTCAAGCTCATCAGTGAATGATATCTGTTACCTGAGAGCTAAAATGAGCCAATTTGTGAGGTGCAGCTAGAGGAGGCTGGATTGTGTGAGACACACATGCTCACTAGAGTAGTTGCCTATCAAAGCCTGTGAGCTAGCTCTGTGAGCAAATGCTGCCATTGCTGTTATGCCATATGCCATAAGCTCTCACAAGTCCCTGCCACAGAGGAAGCAACATACCATGTAGCTTCTGGCTCTGAACAGGGAGGCTGACTCATGACCCATCATCAGTCTCACCTGGGTCCAGGCACATGAACTTGCAGCACTCCTTGGGATCTTTGCGGTACTGCTGGCAGCCCTGGGGCCGCTCGCAGAGGGCGGCCACACACATTTCTGCTTCCCCTCTATGGCAGGTACAGCTCAAGCATGGATCGTCTCCTTTCGGGGTGAAGTAGAACCCTTCATCCACCACGTTGTCCTTGATGTCGACACACGTTTGACCTGCAACAGGCACAGAGAAGCATACACACATGTGTCACCAGCAGAACTAGCCCTGACTTCTCCATGAACATGACAACGAAGGAGCTGGAAAGATCGACCTGAGAGCCCTCCTGTGACCAGCTGTCCAAGAAAAGACACTAAAGCACACTGGTAGGACAAAGCACACCTGGCCAGGGCATGCTTAGCTACAAGCTGAGACAGCTAGGATATAATGATACAGGGAAGTGCGAGATTCCAGGGAAAGGCCCATGGAAAAGTGTCTGCTTTTTAAGCTGCTTAAGCAATTTACTTATGAGTTCAATTCTAAGAAGCAGATGTCATGCGTACTAACCATTTTAAAATCAGAATGTAATACATACATACATACATACATATATACATTCATAAAAATAAAATAAGAATGTATCTTGAATGAGTTGCCTAAGAAGCTGCTGGTTCTGCTTGGGAAGACGGTCCACTCGGAGACACAAACAGTAAACTCTGTGCAGAGCTGACCTGAGACTAGAGGAAGACAAATGGCCATGGCCAGATATAGGAGGGAGCTGACAACTCAAACCCTTAAGCTAGCAGGCACACATGATAGATGCCTGGGGAAGGGACGCCAGATGAGGCACGGACAGTCTCCAAAGAAACGTGTGCTCACTGAAAGACAAAGGGACATGAGAAGGAAGTCTGTTCCAGTCTCTAAATGTGGGTAGGAATGTCTAGAAAAACTCTTTAGGAATTCCACAACCACAAGTCTGTGCCTCCCTTAAGACTAGAGTCAAATCTATGTAACTCATGTAGCCAAGACCTTCCAGGGCAAGAAACTCACATAAAACTGTTCTCTGCTAGAACAGAGAAGAAAAGAATGAAGAGAAATGAGAGAGCCCTCAGAACAATGCGGGATACATCAAGTGTACCAACATACACAAAACGAGAGGGCCAAGAGAAGGGAGACGAAGGAGTAGAAAACATATCTAAAGAGATAATGACTGAAGACTTTAAATTCATTGAAATAAAAAACCTACACATCTGGGAAGTGCAACAAACTCCAAAAGAATCGATGCAAAGACTTAACACATCAGACAGACACACCACAGTGAAAATGCCGAAAGTCAAAGGCAAGAGAAAATTTTAAAAATAGTAAGTAAAAAACAACTCATTATTTATAAGGAAACCCCAATGAGATAAACAGCTGACTTCTCAGTAGAAAACAACAGAGGCCAGAGGAAGTGAGATAACATTGAAGGCGTTCAAAGAAAAAAACTGTCAACCAAGAATCCTATATGTAGCAAAGCTATCTTTCAAAAAAATGAAGGCAAAATAAAGACTTTCCCAGGTAAACAAAAACTTAGAGAACTTGTTGCTTTCAGACTCACCTTACTAGAAACATCAAAGGAAGTTCTTAAGGCTAAAAGCAAGTGTCTCTCAGAGAGTAATTTGAATCCATACACGAAAACAAAAAGCACCAGAAAAGGTAATGATATAATTATAAAAGACAGTATTAATGAGTATTTTTCTTTCTCTTAACTGACTAAAAAATTAATTATGTCAAATAATATGTGTATAATACAGTGACCAGCCTATATATAACATGTAAAAATGTATATGTATTATATATTTCAATAACAGCACAAAGGAGGTATGTGGAAACATAGGTGTATTGAAGAAATGACTGAAGATGGTAATTACAACAATGTATTGTTGGGCTGGTAACGCTAAGAGGTATAATGTATCTAATAACAGTATCACAAAAGAGAGAAAGGGAATAAAGGGTATATAAAAGTAATTTTCCACATATAACTAAAACTAAAACAGTATAAATCTAAAGCTGATTCTAACATGTATATGGCAAGATATACAGGTATATGGAATTAGACAGTGGCAATGGTTGCACATGTCTGTGAATATACTAGAAAACATTGATTGGTAGGTACATTTAAATGGGTGAATTATAAGGTTTGTGAATTACATCTCAATAAAGCTATTCAAAAAAGAAATAATGGCTGACTTTCGCATAATTAAACAGATAAATTTCCCGCATCCTAAAATGACAAAGAAACAGCTAGACACAATGTAATGAAACCTTAGTGTATCAAGAAAGAGAACCTCTCAAAAGTAACAAGAAAGATGAAGATTACCTACTATTCTGTGTTCTTTTAGGCAAAGGTCAGTTGTGGTGACAAGAGGGGGCACAGGAAGGCTCAGGAAAACATAGTTTATTATACTCAGTAAACGAAGTTTATTATAGGCTCTAGAGAGACAGTCACCATAGGCTGAGAGGGTCACATGGGAGGAGAACCAAAGGCATGGCTCAACCAAGTGAATGGGGAACTGAGGGAGAGGGAGAGGGAGAGGTAGGGAGAGAGGGGGTGAGAGGGGGAGAGACAGGGAGAGAGGAGAGAGATGGGGAGAGAGAATGAGGACATGCACACATGTGCGAGACTCTGCAGCAAGTGCCTTTATCTGGAGTCAGGGTGGAGTACACAAGCAAAGGCACGAAGGGATTTCACTGGAGCATTTGAATGTCACTAGGTCACAGTCAAGGAAAGGCAAGAAGGGAAACTTATGGCAAAGGCCAATCTTATTACACTGATGCACCTCGCTACCTGGGTGGAGTGCACATAGCCTGTTTGTGGAACAGGAAGATAGGAAGTTTAATAGTTGATCCTTGAACAACAAGGGGGTTAGGGGCATTGACCCATTGTACAGTAGAAAATCCATGTATAATTTAGTTGGGCCTCTGCATCTGTGATTCCCAACCATGCATCAAAACTACAGTCCACGCGTAAGTGGATCTATCAAGTTGAAATACATGTAGTTCAAGGGTCAACTGTACAGATTTTTCATACAGAGACTAAGAGTATAGCACTAACTCATCTCAAACAGCTCTTGAAACATGTCCTTGAGGAATAAAACTGAACCCAGAAGGAAGAATTAAGATGCAAGAAGAAATAGTAAGCAAGAAACTGATAAACATGAGGAGAAATCTAAATAAATATTGATTTCATAAAACAATAAATGATTCATTTGAAAAGTATAAAAACAAATTAAGTATCTGCAAGTCAGAAGCTGGGGAACTCTTGGAGCTAAAGCAATATAAGATCCTTATATTATTCGGAAGGAAGTTAGAGACACTAACTTTAGATTTAGAAAAAAATCAATTATGCCCTTTAAAAAATGAAAGAGTAACCACCAAAAGGATAGGCATATATAATTTATGAACTAGTATAGGAAAAAAGAGACTCGAGAAGAGCTGACTAATTCCACAGAAGTCAGGAAAAGAGAAAAAAAGAAGCAAAAAAATTCTTGAGTAAATAGTTCAAAATAAGATGCTAAAAATTTACTTAAATATTTAATTAAAAGAGCACAAAGCTAACACAAAAATATCATGTAATAATAATAAAGCTACTATATATTGAGAGCTTTTCATACAACTAGGAGTGTTCTTCACACTGTACATGTTAACTAATTTCTCCCAACAACA